TGTAAAAGCTAGATTCATGTAAATTGATTTTAAAACAAGGGCATTATTGTCCAAAATTTTTATTAATAAGGGATAAAATTGTAACAAAAATAAGATAACCAAGTAATCTTACAATACTTAAGAAAATGGAGGTAATCAGATTACCTCCAATATTACCAACAATAATTACTATCGGTATTGAAAGATTGCCAAAATTTTATATTACTTGACAACTAAACATAATAATCAAGTAATATAAGATGACATAACTTTAATAATCCTATATAACCCCCAACCAAACGCCCCCTTCAAGTTTATCTCTTAACAGCTGTGGTGGTTGCTTATGTGAATGGTGCTTGTGGTGGTAGCTTTCTTGTGTCGGCAAGTGGTTTGCTTCGGGGAATGTTTTATAATTGGGAATGTTATATTAATGGGAAGATAGATTATCTTGAAGATTATTGAGAATATTTAGGAAAATGTGCTTAGTTAGGTTAGAATAAATTGGTGGGTATGTTACATTGATATGTTTGGTTGAGAGGAATAAATTGTTGAGTATATTATACAAATTACTGTATTACCCTTCTATTATTATATTATTAGTTATTATTTTAACTCCTATATTTGAGAATTTAGCTAAAACATCCCATAATAAAAGTTTAAATATTAATAAAAGACCCTAGCCACCCAAGCCACTATTGGTCACCGATCACCATCGCCGGTTGTCGACTATTGTGGTCAGAATGGCACATGACTGGTCGGATCTGGTCGTTGATTTGACCGTTTCAACCATTAACAGTCATGGATCTAGCCGTTTCTTGCTAGATCAACGGATTTGGCCAAAAACGGCCAAATTGATGGTTGTTAATGGTCAGATCGATGCATGACCGTCTAGATGCAGCTGATCATGCGTCGTTTTGGCATTAACGGTTGGCGGTGGTGGCCAGATCCAACCACCAGTCTTGGGTAATTATTTTTAAGTTCAAAGGTATTTATGCCCTAAAAATTTTGTATATAAGGATAAAATAGTCTATAAATATTTTTGTAAATTGTTTTCAAAACAAGGGCATTATTGTTTGAAAATTTAAATAGTTAAAGGTAAAATTGTAACAAAATTAAAATTACCAAATAATCTTAAAATACTTAAGAAAACAATAAGTATTCAGATTACCACCTATATAAGTATATAACCAACAGTAGTAACTATTGGTTTTAGAAAATTATTGGAATATTATGGCTTCGTTTGGTTGGATTTTGAGAATGCTACTTTTAGTATTCCCAAAAAAGTTAAACAGTAAAATACCCAAAAACTCACAATATTATTCAACTTTATTCAACATGTTTTAAACCCCCTAAATTTGTTAATTCAATTAAATACCCCTAAATATTTTTAATGTTTTTGTTACGGTGACTCCGGCCACCCTCCGGCGATGGTGGCCGGCTGTCCGTATTTGAGGGTGGATTGGGGGTGTTTTTGTTAACTTTTAATGTTTTATTATAAGGGGTGTTTTGTAAAAAAAAACAAACATAAGGGGTATTATTCAATTTGTAAATCCTACATCGTATACCCGCCCAATTAACTTTTTTTTTTTTACTTTTTCAAAAAACTTTTCCCAAAAACACAAAATGTGAACCAAACGGAGCCTATATTATTCACAACGAAACGTTATATTAGGTAAATGCAATAACTCTATGTTTAATTCATTTTACTTTGAAACCAATGATTTTAGAAATTAAAAAAAAAAAAAATGTGTTAGTGAGATTTTTAGATGAGAAAAATAAATGATAGAAAATTTTGAAAATTAATTTATAAATACAATATTTGAAAATTTATTTTATACCACGTGATAAAAGTCACATGACTTGCACATGTCTCACTCATTCGCGTACTATGACATGGCAGAAGATGATTGGGCATGAGCGTGGAGTCTGGTCATCAGAGCCATCAGATCAGCGATACCAGTTCCCAAGCGGACTCGAGACTTTCCCAATTTCAGAATTCGAGTTAGTGAGATATTTGCTGTCTTTCTTTTCGTTTAATTACGAAACAGAACTATGAGATTGGCGTGTTTTGTTCTTCTCGCTTCATATTTCGTATGCAGTACGTGGTAGCTGATCAAATCTACCCAGCTCATGTAGGTAATAAGTATAAACCCATTTTCATCTTTATTTATTATTCTTGTTATAATCGATTCAATAGCTTTCTTTCCTTTCTGAGTTTAGCTCTATGTACATTTATCCAATAAAGAACTTCACTTTGATCGTACTATTCATGTTTTATCGTAATTATTGTTGTTTTCATCATTTGAGCTTGGTTTTAGTCAATTTCTTTGATTTAACATCTAATTTTTATTTGGGTTGGTATTGATTTTCTTTTTGGAGAGTTTTCGGTGAGTTATGGAAGAACTGGGATTTATGAAGCTTATGTAGAGCTTAATGATTTGAACTTGCTTTTAGATTACGATGGGTTTAAGCTTTGTTGCTTTGTGTAATGTAGTTGGCAGTGTGTCTGCTTCTTGCTGTCTTTTATGTTCTGGGTAGAGTTTTGACGACTCCATGGCTAACTGTGCAAAGAAGCATTTCTTTCTTTCTTCTTTTCTTTTTTTTTTTTTTTGGTGAGCTTTGCTGGATGTAGGAGTTCACCTTACTGTATGCTGTTCTTCCTTGGTTTGCTATATATTTAAAGACAAACCATTAGAAAATTTAGTTTTTGTGTGAATCTTGGTGATGAAAAGGTTAGAGATTTTACAGAGTGAAAGCTTTCATGGGAGAAGGTTTGGAGTTTTTAGATTGGGATCAAATAAACTCATCAGAGTAGTTGAGCGTTAGACATTCAGTGCTTTTGAGAGCTTTGGTGCCCCCAAAGGGTGTGTGGCCTGGTTATGTGATTATGTAGTGGTTTAGAGCAGCCAACGTGATGTCTTTTAGGATTTCAATTGCTTAGCATTCATCTGTTGATTTTAGTTTAAAGGTTTGCTTTGGGCTAAGGTTTGCTGCAGGCTACCTAGAGCCAATGTATTTGAGATAGGTTTCTGGTTCGCCTTTGATGATTATTTAGTAGAGTATGGTAATAAAAAAATAAATGGGGATACTTAAGATACAGGTTCATCTAGATATCTGCAGTTCTTTATCTAAAAGAACTTGCACAATCGTGTTAGTTGACAAGAACTAAATCATGAGGTGCTTTATACAGGGCTGACCATGGATAATGCAGTTTTACATATGCTTGTGGTCCTTTTTCAAAGTGTATTATCAGTCATAAGAAGACATAATGGTTAGGCTCTCATGCACTTGTGTGTTTATATCTAAAAAACTTAGTCATTGTATAGAAATTATGCCATCTGACCACTTTGCTTTAAACTTATCACTTGCTTTTCTTGTAATCCATTTTCTTATGTTTGATCCTGGTGTGTGGTATTTTATTTTTGTATACTTTTCTCTCATTAAGGGTTTACAGGTGGTACATTGGCCGCAGCCTCGTGAGCCAAAATACAATTGAATTCCATTCGAAGACTCCCCATTTCATCCTGTAAGTATTGCTTAGACTTTGGAGTTTTTACTCCCCTTTTCGTTCTCATTAAAATTGACCATGGCCATTATGATCGAGAGTGCATAATGAGACCAATATGCTGACATTCTCTAGACTTTATGTTGCAGATATCTATCTGCAAGTCTTTTGTTTTCTTTAATATATATATATATATATAAGTTCAATCATTAAATTGATTTCAGTTGGTATGCATGTTTTCTCTAGAACAACATATTTATTATGGCTGTATGAATTGTTATGCTGGAACTCGAGGACAGTATTGCTATCTAATAGCATCATGGGATTTGGTCGGGTGTTTCTTACCTTAATGATGTAAACATTGAGCTTATTACAATAACTTTATTGCTTGTATTGAACTTCTCAGAGGAAAAACAACTAAGCTGCTTTGTGTTTTTTTGAATTTTTTTTTTCTTTCAAATATTATTGTAAGAACTGAAAACAGCTTTTTTCAGAGAAGATTTTTTTTTTTTTTTTTTTTTTTTTTTTTTTTTTTTTTTTTTTTTTTTTTTTTTTTTGCATTTGGTATGTCTTAAGAAAATTTTTTAGACATGATTGTTAACGATTGACAAATGTCTGATAATAGTTGTTAGCGACCACGAGTGAGCCAAAGTGATTAAATGTAATAAATGATGGTTGAGTGTATTGATCATCTATGATCAATTGCGACAATCAATCCTTGTAAAAAGTTGTTGACAGTTTCTAATGATGTGGCCAACAGTTGTCATAGACCAATAGTGAAAGTGAAAACATCAATTGTTATCAATGATACTTAACAAAAAAAAAAATTGTTATCAATGATGAGGTGGTAAGAATCCTGGTTGATTGGTCATGATTGTTTTGGATATTGACTATTGGTAGTCATCTGATGTTTCTGGAAGATTTCAACACATTTTGGAAAATAACTTATGGACTTTATAAATTTTGAAATTTCCAGTATTCTTCAGAAATTAAACTTCGTTTTCTGTTCACTCGGAAATATTTTCCAATAGACCAAACAGGAAAATCTAAAAAATGGTTCATGCAAGTTCTTTTCTGCTGTAGAACCAAACAAGACATGTTAAGCGTCTTGACATGTATACGTTAACATATACAATTTTTTCAATGTAGATGGAAATCTGTCTACATTTTAAAGTTTTGACCAATCCTTTTGCTAGAAGTTCTCTAAATTATCATATTCACAATGTGACTAGAAGGTTAACAGAAGCTTATGTCTAATGGGCCAGGTTCATGTTTTAAAGGTTGTCAGTACCTTTATCCTGTATTCATTGTTACTGAACCTAGCAATTATGCATGATGGGTTTGTGTTTCATGTTGGTACTACAATTATCTTGCATTCAGTCTGGTTGACTGATGTTTAGAATCTGTATTAGTTCCATCCTAAGTCTGTATATGTGATCTTATTGTCTGAATTTAGCTGCAGAAAAAAGAGTACTAAGGTATCATGATCTAATGCCTAGCCCTAACAATTTTTCAGGATGATGACCAGGAGTCTGTGGTTATGCCCAATAAAAATGGACAGAATTTCTTATGTTACTTGCCTAAGGTGGAGAAAACCAGCATTGGGAAGCCAGTAGCGCAGCATAACACAAGCAGCATGATTCTAGAAACTGAGAAACGTGTTAAATTGAAGACACCAGATGAACTGCTTGAACCATTGAAGGACCGGTGCTTTATCAGAGTTGGCTTCTGTCACCCAAAAAATTATTTTTGATTTCTTATGTTGATTTATGCCTAAGATATTTTCTAAATTTATTAAAGAAATAATTTAAAAAATTCTTTTTTCCTTCCTATAGTTACTTTTTGCTTACTAGAAATTGTTGTTATTGTCTTTGTATTTCATGACCTTTTTTTGTTTTTTATAATTGATGCATTGTTCACACATATATGCAGCAAGAGGGTTGGTGGTCATATGAATTTTGCTACCAGAAAAAGTTACGACAACTGCATTTGGAAGATGAAAGGGTAATCTTTTAATTGTACTTAAGGCGATTTCCTGTTTTCCTCTAGGACCATTATTGTTTTATTCACTTCACTGTGTTTGATGTTTCCTGCACAATATTTTCTGTTGTAGAATGTCTTGCTGGTAGATGAAGTATGCTGTTATTCAAGAATAAATCAAAACTAGGAGGGTTCATACGAATTTTCATTTGCTGAATTTGGTGTTGGTACCCGATGTATAGTGGATCCTTCTCTTCCTGTTCAATATGTTGTTTTCGTTTTTGCACTGTTTTTGTAATAGTAAAAGTAGTGGTATTAAAGATCAAGGACAGCTGTAGTAGCTGTTATATTTATTTTTCATTTTCAGTGCTTTTCATTTCTTTTTAGGATTTAAAAGAGTAAAAAAGACCTGACAGCTTTTTCTTTCTTGAATTCACTTGCTACAGGTGGTTCAGGAATTTATTTTGGGTGTGTATGATGAAGAGGCAACAGCTGCTTTCAACCAGAATCTTTCTGACATTTCCACACTGAAAGACCCTCGCTCCAAAGATGCATCGCAAAGGTATTATTTCATCACAAGGGTGAATCATATAAACAATCTTTAAATTTAAAAAAAAAAAAAAAAAAAAAGAGGAAAGTGTTTATCATGCTAAATGTTTCATCTAGGTACCATGCTCATCAATTCACAAATGGAACAATCTGTGATCTCACAAATCAGCCCCGAGAGACTGAGGTATAAGTGATTAAGTCTTCTTTGGTTTTGGTCTTTCTCCTTATTTCCCTTCTCATCTGTTTCGCTCTCATTTTTATGTTCAGGTGAGATTTGTGTGCTCAGAACCTAGAGCTATGATTAGTTCTATTACAGAACTATCGACATGCAAGTATGCACTTACCGTTCAGTGCCCAATGCTTTGCAAGCACCCGTAAGTTCTCTCTCTCTCTCTCTCTCCCCGAAACAATTTCTATCCATATGATGTGGAGGAAGTAGAATACATCAATCATATCCAAATACTTGTTGCTATTTAAGTAGATAGTTTTGCCGGATGATGCTTTTCATAAAGTTGTTTGCATACACTTGACATGAACATTTTAATTATAATAGTTGTCACTTTCTCAAATAATATTTTCTGATTCCATCTATCATTTTATCAAGTCTTAGCATATGATTCTGTTAACAAACTTAATCACTGCTTTATTATTTGTCTGTCTCATTACTGCAATCTTGATAATTACAACCATTCTAGCAGAAAGTTTGTCTTTTTCTTCATGGTGATGATAAATTCTAGATTGGAGAGGCAAGCAATGTCTGTTTGCAACATATTTTTGCTTGTCTGTTGTGTAAGTTCACTCTCTTCATGCATCTCACTCTCAAACACTCATCTGTTATCCACCTTCCTCATCGAACGGAAAAAAACCCAAAGTGTTCATTTGCTACAAAACATTCCAATTTACCCTAAATGAATTGCGCATGTTATTTTACGTTTGCAAGTCAATTTCTGTGCTGCATTACTTGTTCTGATGACTAGCCTTTACTCTACAGTTTGTTCCAAGAAGAGAGACCGGTGTGGCACACCATTGATTGTAATGTGCTTCCAAAGGATTACAAGGTAACAAAAGTAGGGGAAGACAAAGTGGAACCTGAACAGATTTTTATGGTCACTGATGATGCTTCTCCATCAAATTATGAGACACAAGAATAAGCAACTTATTATTGACAAAAAAAGGATTCTGTCCATATCAATTACTTAACAAAGGAAAGGATTTTACTCAGTGTCTCGCCCTTCACCCACATATCAGTGCAGTAGATAGTTATTTTCAAATCTTTACAAAACAAAGTTACTCTTCATTTTTGAGTATTTGTGTAGTCATCTTAGGGAAATCTCAAATTTCCATCTTATCAAATATTACAATACTACATAAATTCTGGGATTATAAATGGTAAATGTTGAACTTTTTCAGCTTTTTAATGGCATGGGGTTCACCTAATTTTAGGCTAAGCCTTGGGGAGTATTGAGAATTTGTTGTCTTATAAGTAATGTCGATGGGGTAATGGTATTTGTACAAAAAGAGTTTGTACAAATTGACGTGGTATATTACAAAGTATGTCATGTGATATTGGGACTCATGTAATTTAATATCACATTAATGTTATGTAGACTCTCATATCATGTGGCATTCACATATTGTGTCACGTCAGTTTGTATAAACTCTCTTTGTACAAATAGCATTACTCAATGCCGATGTTAGTTAGGGGGTGTTTGTCTAAGCTTATAAGCTGGTCAAACTTGCTTATAAGCTATAAAATTAAGCTGACCTGTTTGTTTATAATTTTTTTGAGCTTATAAGTTGAGCTTATAAGCCAAAAAAAATAAGTTGGGGGGGAGGTACTTATTTTTTTTGGCTTATAAGCACTTTGCTTATAAGCTAGTTTGACCAAGTATATTACCACATTATCCTTGTTTAATTTTAAAATTCCATAGTATGTCATTGTTTAATATAGTACTGTTTTGAGAATTTATAAGACAAAGGTACTTAAAGCCATATTTTATAACAACACGTCAAGTTACTTCATCAGTCACTTATTAAGTACTTTAACCAAACACGTAATGCTTAAAATTCAAATGCTTATAAGTAATTTAGCTATAAGAATTATTGGCTTATAAGCCATTTTCATAAGCTCAGACAAACAACCCCCTTATTTATCAATTGTATGGAAAGATTGTTTGTATACAAACTGGTGTGGGAGTGGCACATTGCCAATACACAATAAAATAGAGTGGTAATACACCCATAATTTTATAATAAATTTTCTTTTAAATCTCGACGTGACAATTCTTAATTGATCAGTCGTAATATGAGGGGAGATTTATTATAAGTTGACTAATTACGAGTTACTTATTAGGGTGTAAGTGGAAGTTTGTGAAAGAATATCCTTCATAAAATTAACAAGTGTAAAAATTTATTCGAAAAAAGTAATTTATGTGTGAAGAGTGAGAATAAATTAAACGATCAAGAACAGTTTCTTCTTCAATCAAAACACAAAAAAAAAAAAAAAAAAAAAAAGAAAAGAAAAATACTAAATACCTTCAAATCCTTTTGGCCACATCTGAAATCTGAATGACCAAATTCTCGCTTCTTTAAAACGATAGCAATCAATAATTAAAATGATAAAATCCTTTCCACTTTTACCCTTATTTGTACTAATAATTTAGAGACCCTTATAAAAAAATTCAAGGAGTCAAAACTGAACTCCTGAAATTTATCTAATTTGGTTTTCTAATTCATAAGATTGTAAAAAAAGCTTTGAGTTCTCGGTAATTTTAATGGTTTTTTTTTTTTTTTTTTTTAATTTTATTTCCTCTTGATTTTTAGCCAAAAAAAAATGTAAATTGAAATAGATAAAAGATTTCTAGACGGTAATTTTCTTCCCTTAATTTCCTGAACCACTAGACGTATAAATTCGTAATTTTGTTTTGTTTCCTTAAACCAAAGTTGCTGAGGAGATCCACAAACCAGAAAAAGAGAAAGATAAAAAAAAAAAAGAGGATATATGGAATAATGTATTAGGGGTTATGATGATTTTATACCATTGAAAGTTAGCTAAATTAAATTTACAGGCGCTTTTTTTTTTTTTTTTTTTTCTTTTACATCCCTAATTCAAATAGTATGGCATGTTGGCTTTTATTATTATCCATATTTCAATCTCTTCTACAATATTTGGCACATTATTATAGAAATATTATCTAGTTTTAATATTTAGACCCAAAAGGTTATTAATTTCATTAAATACCCATAAAAAAAGTTTAAAAATTAACAAAATACCCCCGTGACCCATATTGCCAGATTCCGGCAACCACCGATGGTAGCCAGAATCGCCAAACGATGAATTACCTACCGAAAATGGACGGTTATAATCACCGACCTGGCTTTTCCAACCAGATCCCCAGTGGATTGACGGAAAGGCTAGATCTGGCCGTCAGCGACGACAAGAAATGTCAATGACGGCCACATCTGGCCATCGTTGACCGAAAACGACAGCAATATCTTTGGCTGTCGTTTTGCTTTTCGACGGCGACGGCCACGACAAGCCGTTAGATCGGCGCTTTCGGCCAGATCGCGCGTGGTGGATCTGACCGAAAAAAGGCCATAATAATGCGTTACGAAAGATCGACCGGTCGTGTCGTAACGCGATTTCCGATCAATCGGCGGTGGGTGATCGAAATCTGACACTGCAGGTGGTGGAGGTGTATTTGTCATTTACATGTGGGATATTTATTAAATTAGCAAAATAGGGATTTTTTATTAAATTTTTAAATTTTACCCGTACTACTCTCATATTCAATATCCAGAATATCCCTAAAATCCTATCCAAAATATAAACCAAACGCACCGAGAATTTTTCATTCTTACTCAGCAATATCAGCTAGAAAACAGAAACATGCGTGATAAAGTACATATACTCAGTGAATAAAAGCTTGTCCAACTGTTATTTCTACTACTAGAGATTCAAATAAGTAAGCTCACCCATCCCATAAACATAAATATGACATCTACTTGTGCCTTAATACAACAACACATACCTTTTATTATTATACACGTATTTACCTGCATTATGTTGAAGTTGTGTTTCTTCTTCTCTTGGCTGACTAAGCAGAGCCAAGTACTCACTTATTGCTTCACACCTTTTGAACTTCAATGTATAGTGTAAAACGATCTCCCGTAATTCATTGGCAAGTCACCCCATCTCTGCATCTCGCTCTTCTATTTCACTTGCATTGTGTTGATGTACCTTCAACATCCTCATTGCCACTCAAACTACTTGCACCCATGTTGTTAGCATTGAAACGGAGGAACTTTCACTGTTATTAGCTGCACTGTGGGGTTTAACCCAGGTTGCTCAAGTAGTCGGGCCATTGCTTGGTCAAAATTGCTACCACCTGACAAGTCCAACCACTGAACACAAAAGCACATAAAAACCTCGTAAGAGCCTTGATAGGATACCAAATGCAGGTCTCCTCTGAGTTTATTGACTGAATAGACATATATCAAAAATATATTTTTTTATACCAATACAAGATTAGCACAAAACGTATATAGGCATACTTCAAACTTCTATTAATCCTAAATAATAGACAATGAACTTATTTGACATCTCTAACTCTGAGCCTATTGGCATTGTTTGTGCAGTGAAGGCAAAAGGGGTTTCCATCAAATAAACAGGAAAAATTATCTACAGGTGCTGTGAAAGAGTACCTTTTGAACGTTCAAAAACCATAGAAACAAGCTGTTCAATTGTGCATCTGCTGCTTGGCGACGTCTTTCCTTTTTTAGATTCAATAAAACCTTAGTTAAAAAAATAAAATAAAAATTAGTGATGAATAGTCTAAATTAATTCAAATAGAAAATTAATGAGAAAAGACAAATAACTGTATGCAGAATTGTTTCTGGATTTGTTAAGTCATCCAAGCTTTTGAGTGTCATTCTCATTTCTTCGAAGGCTTCAGCAGCAGATCTTTCTAACCAAACTGCCAAATAAGCAATTTCAACTTTGGTCCAGGACACTTGATAGCTGGCTGTTGAACAAAACAAAATCATTATATACTAGACAAAGATCCCTTATACGTTTTAATATCATATTAAAAAAGAAAGAGAACTGAAGTTTTTGTATTGCTTACCCAATCGAGACCAATTCTTTTTAAGTTTTGGAGATCCACAGCTTTTCTCAGGGTGTCACTCATACTTTTTTGCTCCCTGCAAACATGTTGGCATTCAACAAAATGATGAAGAAGAACTTAATAAATTTATTGATGTTTCAGGTGAATGAGAGAAAAACGATGCAGTGATACACACATACAGATAGCAAGAATTTTATCTATTGTCAGTAGGAAACATGACAGCAAGACCAGATAGACAAACAAAATTCTTCTATTTCTATAGGCATGTTAAGTACTTGGTGTAGTACAAATGAGTCGTCGCTAGAATGCTTAAGAAAACATACAGAGATATAAATTATAGTATTATTTTTTTGTAAGCCTATTGCATTAACTTATCAAATAACGTCACCTATCCCTCTTTGCCGTTCATTACCTGCCTTTGCTTGTCTCCTTGCCTTCTTCTCCACAAGAAAATCAAAGGCACCAACATCTTGATTGCTATTCGCAAAGCCCTCTTTGCATCATGTTCGTGAAGCCCATGCTGATAACCAAGGATAAGGCTTCATCTGGCACTTGTAGCTGAAATCAACCACAGAATATTGTTCACAAAAAAAGAAAATAAGAAGAAAAAATGAAAAAAACCTTTTTGAGTATGAACTGACAGCTGGCAACAAACAGAAACACTAGGAAAAAGCTTAAGAGGCCATCCTCTTTGTGATTAATTTATATAATATTAGCGTTAGAGATTGTAATATAAATATTCCTTCAATTTACAAAGAATTGAAATAACTATTTTACAATTTAATTCTTTAAGAACAATCTAGACATACAAACTAAGGCAGGTAAACAGAGCAAATTGTTCTCAATATATTTGGTTTGACCTATATTCCAACTTAATTCTCTGATCATATAATTTTCATTATCACCTGAAGAATTGTGCTTGGCAGAGGACAAGCCTTAGATTTATCGAACTGACCACTGTGATATGCCACACAACCTTCAAAAGCTCACATCTAATGTCTACAAAAATAAGATAAAAGGAACTTAGTTCACAGGCTGGCCAAAATTATTCTTGTGGTCAGGAGCATAAAGACTGAAAAGTGAAAATGAACACTCACAAAGCAAGCTCTGGATAACGACCAGCTTGAAGCAGTCTCATAAGTGAGGAGTCTTTCCAATGAGAACGTTGTATTCCCTCTAGCTTTTCAAGGCGTACTCTGCCACTGAAAGCCAGCTAATGTCTTGGAGCAAAAATAGCCAGCCATGTCTATTTGCAGAATCGGGACATTCAACAAGCTGGAGCAGAAAACATG